CAAACCAGGCGGACATGACTAACAGGGATTGCTCTCTGAGTGTGGTATACTTTGCTGTGGCCTGACTGCTCTGAATAACTCTTGTTTCAAAGAGCATTTGTTTTGTCGATGTATTTTTTGATGCTTTTTAGCATCCACCACTGTAACCGTGCCTTACAGAATAACCTTGTGCTGACGCAGCAAAGACCTTTTTTTTCCTGATCTCAGTTACAAGTGCGATTGTTTCTATATCATATGCCATCCTCTGTTTCACTCACTGGAGAGCATTTGCTCTGCTTCTGAAGTTCATGGGTTAAAAACTAGTAACACAACCCAGATTAGTACGCCTTCTCATAGTGGAGGGAAGAGTAAGAAGCTTTCATTCAGTTAAAGTTTTGCTACAAAATTTGCTAATGTTTGGATGGTGACTAAAACAGACCGTGACAAAAAAAAAAGGGTTATAGCAAAGTTCTAGCCAACTACAGTTCACTTCTGTTACCAACATTGGCCAAAATATGTGCAACCAAAGCCTTAACCAAAAATATTGGCTAGCCAAATTTTGATAGGATTTGGCTTGGGCTCAAACCAAGCACGACCATCACACTGGGCTGCTTAGGAATGTTGCACTGTGGGATGTTGTTGGTTCCGGTTTGCTTCTTCACCTGTTTTTTGGCCCCATTTGTCAGAGGGCGTCGGTGTGTTTCCGTTTGTGTATATTGGTGGGGTGGCATACATGGCTCTTGTCTCCAATTCCATGAAAGAATTTGAGAATTTGCGTCATGTGAAAACCGTCTCGATGTAAATCAATTCCTCTTGTATATTTTTGTACAGAAGACTAACCAGCTTATTTTGGTTTAATTTTTGCGCTCTGGTGATCTACACCAACGCCCACATTCATTATTTGTTTTCTTTCACAGGTCTTCCGATATTTAAAAGAAGTTGATTTCATGATCAGTGTGGAGAACCCTATGACATGATTATGTGTTTAATTGAAATGAACACAAAAGATAAATGAGTTTCTCTTTGCTATTGTTCTGTAGAATATCAGTGGTCATATATACAAACATGAATGTCTCACATATTTGAAAAGCAGCAGCAGCAACAACAACAACAAAGCCTTTAGTCCCAAACAAGTTGGGGTAGGCTAGAGGTAAAACCCATAAGATCTCGCGACCAACTCATGGCTCAGGCACATGGATAGCAAACTTTCACGCACCCATGTGCATATCTAGTTCTTTGGTGATACTCCAATCCTTCAGGTCTCTCTTAACGGACTTCTCCCATGTCAAATTCGGTCTACCTCGACCTTCCTTGACATTTTCCGCACGCGTTAGCCGCCCGCTATGCACTAGCGCTTCTGAAGGCATGCGCCGAATATGCCCAAACCATCTCAGACGATGTTGGACAAGCTTCTCTTCAATTGGTGCTACCCCAACTCTATCTTGTATATCATCATTCCGAATTCGATCCTTCCTCATGTGGGCACACATCCATCTCAACATACGCATCTCCGCCACACGTAACTGTTGAACATGTTGTATTTTAGTCGTCCAACACTCAGCGCCATACAACATTGCGGGTCAAACCGCCGTCTTGTAGAACTTGCATTTTACCTTTTGTGGCACTGTCTTGTCACAGAGAATGCCAGGAGCTTGGCGCCATTTCATCCATCCGGCTTTGATTCGATGGTTCACATCTTCATCAACACCCCCATCCTCCTTCAACATTGAACCCAAATATCGAAAGGTGTTCGTCTGAGGTACCACTTGCCCATCAAGGCTAACATCCTCCTCCTCACACCTAATAGTATTGAAACCGCACATCATGTACTCGGTTTTAGTTCTACTAAGGCTAAACCCTTTCGATTCCAAGGTTTGTCTTCATAGCTCTAATTTTCTATTAACCCCCGTCCGACTATCGTCTAGTACCACATCATCCGCAAAGAGCATACACCATGAGATATCTCCTTATATATCCCTTGTACCTCATCCATCACAAAACAAAAATATAAGGGCTCAAAGCTGACCCTTGATGTAGTCCTATCTTAATCGGGAAGTCATCAATGTCGACATCACTTGTTCGAACACTTGTCACAACATTATCGTACATGTTCTTGATGAGCGTAATATACTTTGCTGGTACTTTGTGTTTCTCCAGGGCCCACCACATGACACTCCACGGTATCTGATCATAGGCCTTCTCCAAGTCAATAAACACCATATGTAAGTCCTTTTTTGCTCCCTTTATCTCTCCGTAAGTTTTCGTACCAAGAAGATGGCTTCCATGGTCGACCTCTCAGGCACGAAACCAAACTGATTTTTGTTCATGCTTGTCATTCTTCTTAGTCAGTGCTCAATGCCTCTCTCCCATAGTTTCATTGTATGGCTCATCAGCTAAATTCCACGGTAATTGGTACAATTCTGAATATCCCACTTGTTCTTAAATTGGTACTAATATACTCCGTCTCCATTCTTCTGCCATCTTGTTTGCCCGAAAAATAAGGTTGAAAAGCTTGGTTAGCCATACTATCGCTATGCCCCCGAGGCTTTTCCACACCTCAATGGGGATACAATCAGGCCCCATCGCCTTGCCTCCTTTCATCCTTTATAAAGCCTCCTTGACCTCAGACTTCTGGATTCGCCGCACAAACGCATGTTGGTCTCATCAAGGGAGTCGTCCAATTCAATAGTAGAACTCTCATTCTTCCCATTGAACAACTTGTCGAAGTACTCCCGCCATCTAGCATAGAGTTCATTTTAAATGGTTTTAGAAATTTTAAGGTTTAATATAGAAGTTCATGGTTCAAACCAGACCAAACACAACAGAATAGGGCCGAAGAGATATATAGGGACCAAAGTAGTTTTTTTTTCATTCAGTTTTGGCCTATATGAGTAAAACTGCAATTATAGCGTGAGTTGGTCAAACCTTTTTAAAGTTTGAACTAAAACCACGTCGCTTATTTATGAACAAAGGTAATACAACACTACATTGATATTGCTAAATTTAGCATGAAGTGTATTTTTGAGAGATATCTTGAAATTGTTTCATAATGTATGCTCAACTTTATTTTAAATAACATATTTGGGTTCCTTTGAACCCTATGGCGTTGATATAGATGTAACGGTTCCTTTGAACCCTATGGCGTTTAAAATTCTTTTGATTGTAATAAATGAATGGAGCGTAAATTCCCAAGTAGCCTAAAAAGTCCTTATTTTCAAGTCATAGTAGTCTTTTTTTTGGTTTTACGAACTTACAACATCTACAATCAAAAGTACCAAAGTCCGCCCCCCGAACACTCGCGGACGTGCCATAGCACAAAAAACATCGGCCACTGCAACCAAGCACCTCAAACATGAAACCTCAAATCCACACTAGCCATGCAGATAAAAGAACTTGCATACTACGTACATATGTAGACTACTCAACATCGGAGATATCCACTATCTCCGTCCCTGGCTCTGGGTAGATGGGCGCGTGTGGCAGCTCGGCCATGTGCGACAGTTTCGGATGGTAGTCATCCGAACTAGAGACAAACGCGCCCAGACGGAGACCCAGACGGGCCCCTCAAACGGGCCCGGACTGATCGACACCCCCCATATTCAGCCCAAATATGGGACGGATATGGGGCGCCCGGGCACACCCGCCACGTCAGACCCGGCCCACGCTGGCCCACCCAACCCCACATAAAATCCTTCACATTCGCTTGATGGACCAAACCCTAGCCACTTTACCCCCCTCCCCTCCACTCCCCTTCCCCCACCCAAGCTCGTCTCCGGCTCCTTCCAGTCGTCTCTGGCATGGCGGGCAGCGGATCCGAGTCCTTCATCTCCAGATTCGTCGACCCCGAGTTCATCCCACGTGGCACCGAGGGGGAGATGGCCGTCCGGCTTGCGCTTCGCCGCGCCCGGGAGGAGGCCCGTGGACGGTTGCACTTGGACTCCATCTGTTGGGATCCATTACGTCCGTCCAAATGGCGCATGGATCCGGTGCTAGGCCAGCCGTAGCTGCCTCGCCAGTGGTCGTGCGGTCCGTCTGGCCTCCGAACGCGCTGGCGGACGAGCAACCTTCCAGTGGCGCGCAGATATTGGGGACGCATCATCGTCCCATGAGGCCATGGCACAGCGTGCAAGCCGTGCAAGGCACCGGGCGTGGGAGGTGGCGACAGTCCTCGCGGCGAAGAAAGCCGGCGAGGCGGAGTCGCATTCTCCGACACCCCGTATGGTGCATCAGTCCAGGTTCCGCAACCGCATCGTGGTGGACGTCGGCGGCTCATCCCCGGACGGATCCGTCATCGATCTGACGTCCACCGGCACCGTTCAGGTTTCGGGCTCCGACGAGGAAGAGTAGGGCATGGGAGACGGCGGGTCTTGAGTCCCGTGAGCCGGCTCGTGTCCCATGCCCTACCCTACCTTGCCGGCGACCGGACCAACACAGGAGCGCAGCCGCGAACATGGCCAGGGTGGAGTCGGGCGAGCGGCGAGCAGAATCGGACAAGCACTGCTTAGGTTAGGTTTCACGTTGCATGTAGTAATATAGATTTGAGATTTCTAATTTGAGGTATCCGGATGTGGAATGCGTTTTTTGAGGGATGGTCGATCACTGTCCACGGACGCGACCGGGCACGTCCCCAGGCATAGGGGGGTCCGACTCTAGATGCTCTCAATTCCGCAATGCGCAACTTGGTTGGCTTAGGAAAAAAAATAGCAGGTCCACAAAATATCATACTTGCAGCCTCTGCTTGAAATGTTTACCATGTGTTTGGTTTGGTACGATGATTCTTGCAGATCATGGACATTCAACCTTGTGTACCGGAATTTAGAGTGCGTTTGGTTTCGTGTGATCAGTCGAGGGTGAAGAGTCTAGACACTGTAGGGTCCTTTTTTTTGACCATGTGGTGAACTGGTCCTTTGGTTTCTTCTTGTTCTTTGAGCTCAACCAAACCAGAGTCGCCGTCCGCAGAGTTTAACCCAACCAACCAAAGCACGCACGCTAAACCCCCCCTCCTCGTCGCTAGCGCCTCCATGGACGCCGGCGGCGAGCTCAATGCGGCCGTCGCGGAGCCGATCGGGGCCATCCAGTACCCCCCCTCCCCCGGCGCCACCTTCGACGACGACTGCGACGACCTCTACGGCGACGTCAACCTCAGCTTCCTCCCCCTCCCGCCGCTCTCCCCTTCCCCTTCCTCCCCTCCCAAGACCCCCTCTCCCGGCCTCTCCATCCTGTCCCCGTCCCCGTCTCCACCCCCGCGCCGCAATCCGTCCCCCAAGCCGCAGCCCGAGCCCGTGTCCGTACCGGAGCCCCCAAAAAAACCCACCCCGCAGCACCAGCCGCCGCTTCCTCTGCAAAAACCGCCCAGCCCGCGACAGCCAAAAGCACCCACCTTCCGGCACCAGCCGCCGCGGCGCGCGCCGGGGGGCTCTACGTCGTCGTCGCCGCCCACCACGGCGCTGTACATCGGCGACCTACCCTGGTGGACGACGGACGCGGAGGTGGAGGCCGCGCTCGCGCCGCACGGCGCGCTCGACGGCCTCTACTTCTACGCCGACAAGTGCTCTGGCAGGTCGCGCGGTTCCTGCCGCGCCGACTTCCTCCACCCGGCCGCGGCCGCCTCGGCGGCGGCCGCGCTCCACGGGCGCGTCTTCGACGGGCACCACTGCGTCGCCTCGCTCTCCTGTCCGCCCGAGCTCCGCCGCTTCGGTGCCGATTCCGACGCCTCGGCTCCGGCCACGGCCCCAACCCCGAACCCCACCCAAGGCCGCGGCGGGAGCGCGAGCAGCGTGACAACAGCCCGGGGCAAGGTGGGGTCTTTGGGCGATGGGTCGGCTGTGGGACCCATGGCTCCCCGGCCGCGGCAGTTCGCTGCGATGATCGGAGGCGGCGGCGGGTTCCCGTCGTCGATTGGGCAGTACAATGCGGGGATGGGTACTGATGCGATGCCTTCAGTGGTGCCGCCCCATGTGAACCCGGCATACTTGGCAGCCAGCAGAATGGCAATGGGTGGCCCTGGCACAGGGATGTGGCCTAATCAGGGCATGGCTGGGGGCTTATGGGGTGGGCTTCAGCCATGGAATTTTGGAGGTTGTGACATGTCATGGCAGCAGCAGCCACGGCTGCAGCAGCACCACCGCCAAGTGCAGCAGCAGTACCGGAATGGGAACGGGGGCTATGTAAAACTGCGTGGCACCGGGCCAGGTGGTAGGAATCAGGACAAGGACATTGGCAATGTGAGGGGCAACCCAGATAGGAGGTCGTATGGCCGGGGCGGCGGCGAACGGCCCAGGGAGAGGGACCGGCATCGGGAGTATGCCCCGGAGAGGGAAAGGGGGCGTGAGAGGAACTGGAATGACAAGGATCAGCACGGAGGTGGTGAACAAAAGAGGTACCCACAGTATACTGAGCACGATGACTGGGAGCGGCGAGGGCGGCTCAGGTCAAGGAGCCAGTCAAGGGACAGTGATGATGATGGTGATGATCATCCAAGAAGGCGCCACTAAATGGTACTCCCTCCGTAAACTAATATAAGAGCGTTTAGAATACTAAAGTAGTGATCTAAACACTCTTATATTAGTTTACAGAGGGAGTAATTGAAATTCCCGGCCACAGAGAATTTTCCAACTTTTATGCTTTCTCCTATGACTAGCTTATCCTGTGAAGTTGTCTCAAAAGATTGTTTCTCCTTGGCACATTTTTTGTGCAACCATCCATTGTGTTCTGCCTTGTTTAATTTGGTTGACCAGCTGTCCCTGCCTATATCAAACAACTAGGAATGGAGCTCTGCCAGTGAGTCCTTATTAGTTTGTAAACGTACATAGACACTTCATGTTGTAGTGTAAAAAACGCTCTTATATTAAGGGACGGAAGGAGTACTAACAGACAGGATGATACCCTTCTGCGCCATGTTTTACAATGGTGTATGAAAAGTAGATTGAAAATTTGTGCCAGTCCCAACATGTTATGGGATATGAGATAGATGTATATCTCATCACTATGTTTAATCACTATGATGACTCATGCACCCAGTTGTGTTTTTTTGTCAATTTTCTAGAATAGGCAGTCAGATTGGACACATTTTGTCTTCAAATTGTGTTGAATAGATCAGTGTAAACATTCAATGTTGAATTTAATGCGTTTCATATTTTCCAGGGTGTATTTTGAGTGAACAAAGACATGCTTATTCATTAAGAATTTATTTTCAGTGAACTTGAAGTCACAGTTTTTGTTACCATAGGGAATTGGTACAGCTATCTTGGTTCTGTTGCAGGGCGTCTAAAACGTTATATTTATGACATTTACCGTGGTCTTGTTGTTTGTTATTCGTTAACTCTATATATGTGCTAATCCAATTTGGCTTTGGTTACAGCTAGTTGTGTTGATGTTTAGGACTTCCTAGTGTGCCTGTTACTTGAAACATGTAAATTTGCTAATTGTTAGCATTATCCTTGAAGGTTATGTGTCAAGAATTATAACAGTAGGACAAATTCTGTAGTAGATAATACTCATTACCATTCTTTTTTTTTTGTTGCCACAGTAATTTCTGCTACTCCCTCCATTCAATAATAATTGTTGAGGTTTTAGTTCAAATTTGAACTAAAACGACGACACTTTATGGAACGGAGGGAGTACCTTTTAACACCTGTGTCGATTGAGTGCTGCACTGTCCAATTTAAGGGAGTAATTATGAGCAAACAAGGAGTAGAAACAAAATGGGTGTCTGAATGTACTATCTCGTATACCATCGATCAGCATTCTGTGTCATGTTATTCTGCATAGGAACCAATTTGACATAAATGCTAACTAACTTGCCCTATGCCATCCATGCATCTGCTGACCATGTACCATATGGTGTTGCCATGCGGCGCGCCTGAACTAAGCTTTCATACCTCAATGTCTCTCCTCAACCCAACTGAGACACTGGTATCTGGCCTCACAACTGTTTCATCAAATTATAGCTTATAAATCACATTCAACATTTCTGCCAGTAAACTGAATACCTTTTTTCTTAAGTATTTCCAAATCATATGCTTTCTACATCTTGAATCAGCACAAGTGCTATGCATTCCATTAGAATAGCAGAAAAGCACTCTACATCTAATTGGCTTAAGCAAGTTATCCATGACCAGCTTTTCTAGATCCTAGCAGTTATTATGCTAATTGCTACTCCCTCCGTCTGAAGATAAGTGTCTCAACTTTAGTACAAAGTTGAGACACTTATTTTGGGACGGAGGGAGTACATAATAAAACTTTGTTATCAACTTGTTTTGTCGAAGCTGCTCTTTTCATACTAATCTGTTCCCATTCAAGGTACTGGGAATAAACTGCTAATTTCATGTGTGTAGATTCATGAAACTGAAAATTAGAATTTGAAGATATGTTTTTATCCTTTTTGAGCCACCTTTAAGCTATTTCCTGGGAGTTGTGAGGCAAGGTTTCTTCGTTGTTGCAAGAACGTTTGATAGGGAGAGGACGATGAAATGAAGGGAATGCATACAATGGCGATGATGTTTTTTTACTAAAACAATCGGTGCCAAAGCATCAAGTCACACATAACTAATTTCCATTTGTAAACAGATGATTTCAGTTACTAATTTCTTGCGTGCTCAATTTGATCAGAACACGAGTTACGTACATAATTGATTGATTCTATAGTTACGAATGTGTGTTTTGTAAATGTGAAATGATCTTGTATAGTTGTTCAAATATGCTGACTTTGCTCATTCATATCTGCAGGCATGCTATTACCAGCCTTTTGCGCCCCTGTTCGGCCACTTCTGCTCTACCAGGAGTTGCTGCGGACACAAGGCTTACTCAGTAGCGTCAACTTACTATGAAGGAATTAGTTGAGACATAGACATAACCGGACATATTATCTTTTGCACGCCATATTTAAATGTAACTTATATATGGTACTTAACTCGGGTAACCGTTCGAAGATAGTGGTCCTACGTTTGGCCTGAATGATTCTGTGTTGTGTTTAACTCCAAGAATATATTTGGAAAACTGTTGTAGTGACAGTATCGTCCATTGTAGGATGTGGTTTTGAACCATGAACCTCTTGGTTGCAAGTTGCATGCAACTAACCAGTTCACCAACACTTCCTTTAGAGTTATGATGTGGGCAGTGGAACCTGAGGTATTGTCGCAATTATTTATTGCGTTTATTGGGTTTTGAGCCCTAAACCTCTTCTTGGTTGCAAGTGTATGTGGTTGCAAGTGTATGCACCTGACCAGTTCATCCGAACTGATGGAGAGTGTTGGTAGGGCGGTTGTGTCTTTGGGTTGATGAATTTTTGCTGTATCATTGATAGGCCATTACCCTAGCCAGCTTTGGGCTGAGGAATTGGCGCTGTAACTGCCCTCTTTTCCTTTTTTATTTTTCTCTGAAACATCCATCGATCGCTTGATCAACCCCTTTTTGTCGCCCTCTCCCTGCTAAATCAATGAAACACCAGCAACTTTGCTGGGTCTCTTTAAAAAAACGGTGCAGATGCTGTTATGCCAGGGAGAAGTATAAACATGATTTGTGGAAGCTAGAGCCCTGCCGCAAATTCTGTTTTCCTATTTGACTTGGATTGGAATTGGAAGCAGGGAAGTGGCCATTGGGCAGCTAGCAGTTGAGGTGGCTCTCCTCGAGATACTCTACACATTTTGTTGCCGTGGTGCTTAACAGTAATGAACTTCGCATAATAGGCTAACGAAACTTCTCTGCGGACGATAAACTGGCTTCACGACGGCTGCACGATGCTAATCCAGCCGTCTGCTCCACTTTCACGATTAGCATGGACACACTGATATGTTGTGCCGGACACAAATCGTCCAATGTGCATCGTGTGCATAGCAATGCTCATAGGCTAATACTCTCTCCGTAAACTAATATTAGAGCATTTAGATCACTATTTTAGTGGTCTAAACGCTCTTATATTAGTTTATAGAGGGAGCAGAAGAGAGGTGCTAATCTATTGTCGAACGCTCAAGTACGTACAAAGCAATAATGCCCCAGAGAAAAGAAGACGAAGAAGAAGCAGAACTCTAGATGATAAAGTTGGGGAGTGGGCGTAAAAGGATGATTTGTGTTCATGTATGTTCTTTCTTTTAATGTTGTATTGATGTATGTTCTACGGCTAAGCTCGTCACCTACTGGACCGGAGCACGGATGCTGAGATCTCGGGTCTCGATGACTAGAGGATATCGCTGCCCATTGTCAAACGACGACGCCTCTCCAGCCCTTCGACCGAGGCGGCTGTGGAGTGACAGATATTACCATATCCTGAGTTTGTGGAGTTATTGCATAAGGTGATAAGGATTAATGAGGAACCCCCAAATTTAATGTTATGATTATATGGTATCTTAGTTATTCTCTTGTATTTCTAGAAGCTTGCATGGAGATTATAATCATAGGTATGTATTTTGTTCACGTAAGAACAATACATAAATTTAGGCTCGACCACACAAAACTTATATCAAAACAATGAAAGTTAATGTCAATGGAACTAGGTGAAATTCTCGTCGTCCTCGAGAGAGCTTTGATTCGTATAAGTATCAGCTACTTGCTGCACCATTAAAACAATACATAAATAAAGATTGGGCTACTTGCTACACCATTAAAAAAATATTGCAATTATTCTCATGATCACACAAACATACAGACAAACCTTTGAAGCTTTTGAAGCGATCCCTTGCTATTTTTCAACGACCAATTTTTTTCGCTCCTAATTGGGTTTGACACTCTACTTATTAAAAAGATCTACAATTGATATCCTACATTTGTGGGTTATCAAGACTTTTTTCTGGTGTCATTGCCAGGGAGCATAGAGCTCTTGGTAAGTGGAATTTGTTAAGGGAAACACTTAGTGTTTTTTTTTCCGTTCGTTCTTTTAGTCCCCTATGGAAACTCTTGCTGCTAATAACTTGTTGGGAGGCCTTGCATACTCTCCTATGAATATTAGAAGACATTTATCCCAGGGGACACACTTGATATTTATCCTAGTGTGTCAATAGATATTTGATAAACTATCCATTCTAGAGAACATTTGCTTATGCTTGAGGATATATATAGTCTCTTTAAGACTTTAGGTGTGTCTAATGATCAGGTTAAGAAGAAATTATTCCCTTTATGTCTAGAGGACAAGGCATTGGAATGGCTTAGGCTTCTGGATGATCCATATGAAATAGAATGTTTTGATATTTACTCCAAGTTTTACCCAAAATTTTACCCTCTTCATCAAGTGCATGAGGATAGGAATTATATTTATCACTGTTAGCCTCATACCAGAGAGAGCATGACTAAGGCTCAAGGGGGACTTAAATCATTATTACTCAAATTCCCCAATCATGAGTTCTCCAGAAAGACAACTGTTGATAATTTCCATGCAAGACTTCCTAGACATGATAGGGAAATACTTAATAGTTCTTATGGGGGATGATTTTATAATAGAAGTGTCAGTAGTAGATGGGATATTATTGAAAGGACATCTTGACAATAATTGGATGAATATCTT